AATGTATTCTGTATACATTATCTGTATTCTGTGTAGAGTGTATTCATGTTGGGTAAATTCAACTTATAATCTAAGTGATGTATAGTGATTAAATGTATAAAATAAATAAAGTAAAAATAAAGAATAAAAATCGCCTATTTATCCTTGAATCAAGTCAGACAATCAGAAAGCTACATATTTGTACCATATTATTAATTTTATAGAACTGGTGTTTGGGGGAACCAGCAGTTAGCGTAATGGCTATGTCACTAGACTCCCATGTAGTCGACCGCGGTTCGCATCCTGGACCTGGTGGCTTAAAACTCACGCCAGGCGCATGTGTGCGGGCCCAAGATCCCGAGAGGAGAATGGAGGAGAAGGGATTGCGGTGTGACCATCTCCCCTGGGGGGTGATTTCTTGCTTTCTGTCTCTCTGTCTCTCTCTGTCTGTCTGGTGAGCACACACATCCTATATCAAAAACCTCTCCCCAAAAAAAAACAAAAACTGGTGTTTGGATGAATTGAGATTTGGCATTGTGTCTAAAATGTTACCAAAAACACTGATTGATAACATTACCCCTTTTAAAAGCCAACAGAAAAGAAAATTCACATTCTCAGTTTTCGGTACTGAGTAAAAAAAATGTTTTAAGTAACTGGTTTATTTTGATATTATGGGTATTATAAATCTTGTAATTGATTCTCTTCACTTAGATTCTAATAAAATTGAGTCCCAAATATTCTGCCTTACTCTATCCAAAAAAAAAAAAGCAGACCTGGATTAATCTTAGCTATTGCTTTATTTTACAGTTCTACTCATGTTTTATTTCTGCTGACATCCACTTCATTTTATTCTGTTACACATATTTGTGAAGCAAAGTAAACATAAATGCACATTAGGTTTTGGGGGTTTTTATTTGTATAATACATTCCACTTTTTATCTAGTAAATTAGGACAGAAAGTTAATATAAATAGAACCACAGTATATCATGCTACAAAGAATTAAGTAGAAAAACTTTTCTTGAGAGTTTTTTTGTTACAGGGCACTTGCGCTCACCAGAAAGACAGAAAGAGACAGAGAGAGAAGGCAAGAAACCAACCCCTGGGGGCGATGGCCATGCCACAATCCCTTCTCCATTCTCCTCGGGATCTTGGGCACACACGCACAGGCATCTGGCATGAGTTTAAGCTACCGGGTCCAGGACTCAAATCGTGGTCAACTACATGGGAGTCCAGCGACATAGCCATTATACTAACTGCTTGTCCCCAAGGAGTAAAACTTTTGATAAAAATTCAAAATTACTAGTTAAAATTAAGTCTAATTTTAAGATTAAAAGGAATCAAGAGGATCTGGCCCCGTAACATAGGAGTTAATTACTTGTTCATTGAGAGCCAGATTCTTCATGGTCAACTGCAGTTCTAGTCCAGCTGCTTGAAAAACATGCAGGGTGCATGTATGTGTATGTCCAAAATCCAGACAGGATGGAGAAATGGAGGAAAAAGGTTTGTGGCATGACCATATCCCATTGGAAGAATTATCTCTCTCTCTTTATCTCTGGAGAGTGCATGTGCTCTCTGGCAGTTAAAAAAAAAAGAATGGAGAGAGAGAGGCAGAAGACCAAGGAAAGACAAAGTAATCTTGAAGAACAACAGAGAGGGAGAACTTAAACTTCTAGATACCAAAGCTAACTATAAAACTTGACCTATACACACACGGTCATCTGATTCACGACAAAAGTGGCACTACAATTAAGTGGTAAAGGGTGGTCTTTACAATAAATAGAGCTAGGTCAATTAGATAGCTATATAGGAAGGAAAACAAAGCACCAAGACCCCCAAAGTTCCAGTTGGATAGCAAACTTAACTATAAAAGATAAAACAAAACTTTTAAAAGAAAATATAAGAGACTATTTTTCATAACCTTAAGGTAGGCGGGACCAGCAGTTAGATTAACGGCTATGTCACAGGACTCCCATGTAGTCGACCGCAATTCAAGTCCCAGACCTGGTGGCTTAAACTCATGCTAGGTGCCTGTGCGTGCTTGCCCAAGATCCCGAGAGAATAGAGGAGAAGGGATTGCAGCATGGCCATCCCCCCTGGGGGGTGATTTCTCGTTTTCTGTCTCTCTGTCTCTGTCTTTCTGGTGAGCGTATTCGCCCTATAGCAAAACCTCTCCAAAATAATTTTAAAAGGTAGGCAAAGGTTCATTAAGCAAGAGGCACAAAAGGACTGGTCATAAGAGGGAACAAAGGATATGCTGGACTTCCTTAAAAGTAAGAACTTCCGGGACCAGCAGTTCGCATAATGGCTATGTCGCTGGACTCCCGTGTAGTCGACCACAGTTCGAGTCCCGGACCCTGTGGCTTAAACTCACGCTGGGTGCATATGTGTGCATGCCCAAGATCCTGAGAGGAGAATGGAGGAGAAGGGATTGTGGCATGGCCATCCCCCCTGGGGGGTGATTTCTTGCTTTCTGTCTCTCTGTCTCTCTGTCTTTCTGGTGAGCGCACGCACCCTATAGCAAAAAAAAAAAAAAAAAAAAAAAAACCTCTCAAAATAAAAAAGTAAGAACTTCTATTGATAAAAAGATACAACAAAGGGGGCCAGTAGGTGGCATGGTAGGTAAGGTACTGGACTCCCACATTACTGACCCTGGTTCGAGTCTCAGACCTAGGGCTTGCTTTCTCACTCTCTTTCTCTCTCTCTGTCTCTCTCTAATGAGTGCACAAGCCCTGTAGTAAACTAAAAAATAATAATGATGACGTATAAAATTAAATAAATCATTCTTAAAAACAATCAAACGAAAAGACACAGTTAAGGGGCACAGCAGGTGGCGTAGTGGTTAAGGTGCTAGACTCCCACATGGTCAACCACAGATTGAGTCTCGAACCTGGCAGTTTGAAAATCATGCCAGGCACATGTATGTGCATGCCCAAAATCGCAGGAGGAGAATGAAGGAGAAGGAATTGCAACGTGGCTCTCTCTCCTGGGGAATGATTTCCCCTTCACTGTCTCTGTCTCTCGCTTTGTGGCAAAAAAAATAAAATAAAATAATAAGAGATACAACTAAGAGGATGAAAAGGCACAGCTGTAGAATGGGAGACGATACCTGCAATTCAAGTACATGACAAAAGTTTCATATCCAGAACATATAAGGAACTCTAACATAAGGAAGACACCTCAGAAAGAAAAATGAGACCTTCATTTATCTAAACAGAAACTTTACAAATGAAAGGTGCTTAACTTGGTCAGTCATCCAGGAAATGCTAACTATAACACATAATCAAGTATACTAAACACATACACACACAAATACAGCAAGAACAAAGACGGATAATACCAAGTGTTGAAAAAGATGTGGAGCAATCAGAATATTCACACATAGCTAATGTGAATGTAAATTGGTACAATATCTTGGAAAATTCTATGGCGATATCCTCTTAAAACTTGAATATGCATGGGGACCAGCAGGTGACAGGGTGGTTAAGATGTTGGACACTCCCACGGGGTTAACCACGGTTCAAGTTATGCACCTGGTAGCTTCCTTTACAACTTTCCCTCTCTCTCTGTGTCTCTCTCTGGTCAAATTAAAATAAATTAATAAATAAATAAAATTAAAGAAATAATCATTTTTTTAAAACTTGAATATGCACAATTTCAATAATAAAAATATACCCAATATATGTGGATGTAAGTTCTCTGAAAGACAGTTTTGAACACCAGTGTTTTTAAACAGCCAAAAACTAGAAACAAACACAATGTCCTCCGAGAAAATAATGGATCAATTATGGTATACCATACAGGAAATTATACAGGACAAAATACAATGTTGAACAAGCAAATTATATCAGTGTCACAAGGTTGAGTAAAAGAAGGCAAACAAATTAGACTATAAAATTACATTTATATAAACTTCTATCACAGGCAAAAACTAATCAATTCCATTAGAAGTATGGCTAGTGGGTGCTCTTGAGGGGTTTACCTCTTTAGTTCTGGTAATATTCTGTTTCTTGATCTAGGTGCTGTGGGTTATACAGGTGTGTACATTTAGTTAAAATTTACCAAGTTGAATATTCATAGTTTATGCATTATTCTGTGTATATGGCATATATTAAGAAAGACTGGGACCAGCAGATAGCATAATGGCTACGACGCTGGACTCCCATGTAGTCAACAGCAGTTCAAGTCCCAGACCCGGTGGCTTAAACTCATGCTGGGCACGTGTGTGTGTGCCCAAGATCTCAAGAGGAGAATGGAGGAGAAGAGACTGCAGTGTGGCCATCCCTCCAGGGGATGATTCTTCACTTTCTGTCTGTCTGTGTCTGTCTTTCTGGCGAGCACATACTCACTATAGCAAAAGCTCTCAAAAAAAAAAAACAAACAAAACAAAACAAAAAGACTACTGGGCCGACACTGGCATGATGGTAAGGTGCTGGACTCCCACATGGTTCAATTCCTGGACCTGGCAGCTTGCTTTCTCACTATTCTCTCTCTCTCTCTCTCTCTCTCTTTCTGTGTGTGTGTGTGTGTGTGTGTGTGTGTGTGTGTGTGTGTCTTGTGTGTGTGTGTGTGTGTTTCTGCCGCTCTCTGGCAAATGCATGTGCACTATAGCAAACAATAATAAATAAATAAATAATTTTTTAAAAAAGAATGATGACAGTATATTACTACACATTAGTCAGCTCCAGACTTCTAATGATAAAAATCAAATGGGAGCTCTCGTTGTATAGCACGCATGCAAGCTCAGAGGACAACTGTTGGTGTCCTCCCTCGATACTTCTGTCTCCTGCAGAGCTCAAAAGGGAGCATGAGCAATGCTTTCCTACCCTGAAACTTTCAGTCTAACCACCACTGTGTGCTTTAGGTATACAGTATTCCCTTCATCTGTTTTCGTGCCAGGCACCACAAGAAGTTACAGACTCTCAGGTCCACTCATCTCCCAACATAACTTAATACGTCCTCTACTTTGTTCTCATCTCTCATCTATTCCTAATTCAGGAGGGAGGAAATCCTTCCACTGTACCTTCTGGAATTGGCAGTCTCTTATCAGCAAAATCCTTTAATATTTTCAACAGTTCTCTGAATGTCGTTTTCTTTTTTTTTTCAGAAGACACTACTTTTTCAGCATATAAACTTTTCAAAGATGATTGCTTTTCTTCACATAACCCTGGAAGAAAAACACAGGTATTAGAGGTAAAGTGGTGTCCTTCCTCCTTATTACCATGTCACATCATTCTACCCCCTCCCCAGAACTATCCCAATGCTACTTTGAAACTCATGTTGCTGTCATCTGAGTCAATCTACCCTCTGCCCCTGCAGTGCTCCATCACTCTCCTTCATTTCTAGATGATTTTAGCTCCTGGCTCACTGTCACTCTCAAACTACTACTGTTATGTGAATTCCAAGTCATTTTTTTTATACCTTGAACTCTTTCCTGCCTAGGATCCTTGTCCAACAATATTACCTTCCTACCTCAGATACTCAATCCTATGATCATAACCAATATCACAACCTACCCCATCTGTTCTCAAACCTTTTGGTCAGGGCAATTTTATATTCTTAAATATTAAGCCAAACTGAAATACCACCCAATGGCCAAAGCTGGAACAATTTGAGCACCAAAACAAATATTATAGTATTGAATAATAACCCAAAGTATAAAATAAATTTACATGAGATAATAAATACAAATGATTAAGATTATGATGATTACAAATAATGAGATAAATCATCCTTTCTTACAGAAGACTTCTCAATAATAAATGTAGACATTCTCTTTTTTCAAGTGATTTTTTTTTAATTTTTTAATTTATTCATTTATTTATTTTAATTTGACTGGAGAGAGAGACACAGAGAAAGAGAGGGAAGGTGAGAAAGCAAGCTGCCAGGTCCAGGGCTTGAACTTGGTCAACCATGTGGGAGTGTCCAGTGCCTTAACCACCACGCCACCTGCTGGTCCCATAGACATTCTTTCCTAAAGAAGTAGAGTTTAGTCTCTGCCTTCC